AGATCCTCCAAGCAGTGATGGTGCTGTTTCCAGATCAGTAATTGGTCATACTGCATATGAAAATGGATCAAGACCCCTCTCACTCTTTTGCACTGTTAGAGTGGAGAGGAAAAATCCCAGCCTGTTTCTTGGACAGGAGCCTTCAGCTAATGGAGGTTATCAACTACATGTCAGAGGATGTAATTCACCCAATCCCCCCCCCTCTGGGAGCACAAACTAAGTCATGCCCTTTGACATGAACTCAGCTCCCCAGAAACATCTGCCTCAACTTTATGACCATGTGTACTCAGGCTATCACCAGTCATTTGCGGGGGGGGGGGTTTACAGAAAGTTGAGAATTTTCTCTGGGGCACAGCCTATACCAGCTAGGGAAGAGGAGTATGGAACCTGGATGGAACAATCCATGCAAGCAGTGAAAGAATGGGATGTTCCAGAGGCTCAAAAGAAACCACAGATCACTGAGAGCCTGAAGGATCTCACTGTAGAAGCCATCAGAAATTTTAAATTTAGTCGGGGTTATATTCAGCTTTTGACCTCCTCAACATGTTGCAAGAAGAATTTGACCTCCTCAACATGTTACAAGAAGAGAACATTTCTGTCCTAATTTACCATTGCAAAAACATATATACCAATGAGGTGATTGACGTCTACCTGGGTACATCAGGTATCTAAACAAATTATTGTATCAGATTATGCTGAAGAAAGGAATGATGCCTGCAAAGATGATCAGGGCAGGATGAAGCAGATCTTGCAAGGCACTTTACATATGAACCCAGTCTGGATCCAGTTAAAGACCTTAGAAAGGGGGGCTCCTTACAGTATCCTGAACTCATTAAAATGGTGAGAGAAGAAGACGTCATGGGAATGCCAAAAGAACTATGGCCAACTGATCATCAGAATTATCACTAAGTGTTGGGGGTGGGGATGAATGCTGTGGAGGTTAATGCAGACATTGCCACTCTGAAGGCTCAAAATTCTTAGATGATGGAAATGATGACTTTGCTGACAGCAAGAGTTGCCCTACCCTCAGGACGGAGGGTGACAAGAAGAAGAATCTCCCATTGCCCCAGCAGAAAGGTTATAGAGGCCAGTGATTTGCTATAATTGTGGAGGTGAGGGGCATTATAGAAGCAATTGCATGAGAATGCCAAGGTCAAGAAGTAAGATTCAAGTGGCAAAAGGGTTTTCCTTGACTCAGGTTCACAAATGACTTTACTAACAGGGACTTTTATGATAGGCAACTAAAGCACATCTGCCCTTACAAAAGTTGGATGATCTGGAGAATTGGAGAATTGGAACCAAGAAGTCCTCCTACGATGTGTATTTACTCCTTAATCTAATGTTTGGCCCTTCAGCTGTTGGGTGTTCTGAAACATTTGACACCCTGGCTATTGTATGTGCTCAGCCCCCAGAGGCTAATTGGAGTTCCCTGATTGTGGGGATGAATTCTAACCTGGTCAGATGATTGCTCACCCTCCTTGTTTCAGCAAAAATATTCTATGCCAGGGTGCATTCACCCCAGTGGTGGGATTCAAAATGTTTTACTACCGGTTCTGTGGGCGTGGCTTTGTAGGTGTGGTGTGGCTTGGTGGGTGTGGCTTGGTGGGCATGGCAGGGGAAGAATACTGTAAAATATCCATTCCTCCCCACTCCAGAAGGCTACTGCAAAATCCCCATTTCCTCCCAATCAGCTGGGACTCAGGAGGCACAAAATAGATGGGGGCAGGGCCAGTCAGAGGAGGTATTTACTGATTCTCCAGAACTGGTCAGAACCCCCTGAATACCACCTCTGATTCACCCCATGCTGAGGACAGTGTACTAATGCCTGGTTGAAGAGCAGGAGACCCAGCAAAAGGGGTGGGAGTTAGTTGTAGAAGTTGGACCAGTGGCATTCCCAGCCTTACCTTCCATGTGAAAGGCTGTCTGGATTGCCAGTGTATTGAATTCACCCAGATTTAGTAAATTGATCCCCAAAATTCAAAAGTTGAGACATAGGACACAGCAAAAGGGAAATAAGTGCCAAAAGTATGCAAAAGAGCCAGTTTGGTGTAGTGGTTATGTATTAGGCTAGAAAGCTGGAGTCCATGATAAACATAAGCCAGCTGAGTGACCTTGCGCCAGTCCCTCCCTCTCAGTCCTAGGAAGAAAGCAAAAGGCAAACCACCTCTGAAAATCTTGGCAAGAAAATTAAAAAGACTAGAACAGGTTCAGTGAGGCCTGCTAGGCCCAAAACAGGCTGCAGGGGGATGTGGAGCTCCCCCTCCGTAGTCTGTTTCCCCCCCCCCAGGAGGCTTCAGGGAAGTCTGCTAGGCCCAAAATGAGGCATATGATAAGGTGACCAGACATCCCGCTTTTGGCGGGACAGTCACGATTTTTCAAAATTTGTTCCGTGTCCTGCTGTGTGTTCAAAAAGTCCTGATTTAAAAAGGACACTGTTAAAAAAAGGTTTTATTTCTCTGAAGTGTCGTTCCCGATGTGGCCTTTAGAGGGCAGTGTAGGCTTCTGCCTGGCTTGATTGCAGCCCTCCCTCCCCTCCTGCTCTTCCAAACAGGATCATATCTCCCTTCCTTTNAATCCAGGAAGAACGAAGAGGCAGAGTGGCTGGAAGTGAGTACTGTGCACAGGCTGTGAGTTTTAAAAAATCTGAGTGAATCCAGAAAGAACGAAGAGGCAGAGGGGCTGGAAGTGTGTACTGTGCACAGGCTGTGCACAGGTAATATGTATAAATATATCTGAGTTAAAATATTTGAGTTAATATGAATTATGGTTGATGACTGTGGAAGAGATGCACAAAAGTCTTTTGTAACCAACTGATACATTTTCTCATGCGACTCTACAGCGAAGGGATTGGCGATGCCGTACCGACGCTAAAGACTGAAGAAGAAGAGAAGATACATTTTCTACAGTATGTAAAGAAGGAGGATTCTTTGTGTTGTGTCTGTTTTGAAAATAAAAATTAAAAAAATTATATATGTAAAAAAAAAGATAATGTCATCATTGCAATAAATATTAAAGTATACCGTACTTTGAAAATGCCAGTTAAAAACTAAAATAGCTTCTGAGAACTCATAATGGCTTCAGGGCTTTCTTAGTCAATCAGTTTGCTTTCTCCTTTATATGTGCATGTTAAAACAAATTAAAAGAATGAGCTATTATAATTTATCATACACAATAATTGTCACTCTTGGGGCTTTGTATAACTTGCTTTGCAACCTTTAGGGAAGGAAGTTGGGTTATGTAATTCTCAACAGAAACAAGGAGATTAAAAACAGTCAAGATTTGATCAAGGATACAAAGGTCATATTTAGACAATCATGTATCTGACTCTCTGACTGTGACAAATACAGTCTGATTGTGACTGTTATTATACCCTACTCCTATTTTTATCCCCCCCTTAAAAAAAATCAATGAAACCAGTGCAAGAGACAGTTTAATTTAGTGGTTACGCTGTGGTGCAGAAATCAGGAGATGGTGACTTCTAGTCTCACTTTAAGTAAATCAGCTGGATGATTTTGGCCTAATCATTTTCTCTCAGCCAAACTCTCTTCACAGGGTAGTTGTTGTGGGAAAAATAGGAAGAGGAAAGAGTAGTGGGTCTGTTCTTCATTGACTTATTCATGAAAAAAACAGTAAAAGATTTTAAAAATATAAACAAAATCTTGCTGAAGAACTCACTCTTGTTGAAAATGGAGATCATGTGAACTCACCTGTAGATTGACCCTAAGATAGCTTGTTCCATTAGTAGCTTTTCCTAGTTGACTGTCTAGTTGGGGCCTCATTGGGACAGGAAGGGGCCCTGGAGAGAATTACTGGGAAATGTAGTCCCCATCAGGAGAAGTTAAATCAAGAGTGCTGGGGAGTAGGATGACAATTGTGAGCAGCTCAGGAAAAAGAAAAAGGACTGAGAGGAAGTGAAAAGAATGAAACTCCTATAAGGAAACTCCTATAAGGAGGCTGGACTCCTTCCTAAAGAGAGAGACATTGCCACCACTAGGGAAGAGGATGGCTGTATCTCAGCCTGGAGACCAGGGGTGGGTTTCAATTTTTTTACTACCTATTCTGTGGCCATGGCCTGTTTTGTGGGCATGGCTTGGTGGTCATGTGACCAGGTAGGCATGGCCATCTTGTAAAATGTGGTGAAACTCACTTAACAATGCTATTGCTTAGCAACCAAAATGTTGGCTCAGAAACTCTGGCATTTGAAGTGTGCAAGTCTTAAAGCTGTCAAGTTACAAGACCCTTGCACCCCTAACCNAATGAATGAATGAATGAATCAATGAATCAATGAATCAATGAATCAATGACTTTACTGAAAGCTAGCAATTCTGAAGAAAGCAAGGATGCTTTCCCATATACCGGGAATGTCTGTGTTTTGTGTGAACTGTGAAAAATGAATCTCTTGTCTCCATTAACAGTACTTTAGTCTAAAAGGTGAGACAGCCTCCAATGTCCACCTAAAGGCCCTGTTTTCTTGTTTTGTAGGAACTCTCATTCAGCTGCACATCAAGGTAGATCTCTTCAGACTTGAGAGCATCACGAGACTCTCATTAAGATTTTGCTTATTAGGTTTGCTTATGCTTGTGCCAAGAAAAAAAATAATCCAACATCCTATCAACAGATTCCATTAACATTGCTTTCTTGTTTGTCTGTGCTGAAGCCTCCTTTATGCCACAAAGGAAGGCTTTTTTTTCCAACGCCTTTCACTTTATCCTGCCTGCATGTTTGCTTTTGTGATGTCTTGAAATCTTTTAGTATCAAGATTTCTTCCAAATAAAGTTGAGAACATGATATTCTGCTCCAGAAATCATGCTGCGAAAAAAAAAAAGCTGAATAGTTTCTCAAGAGCTCTGAAAAAAAAAGCAGAGGTATTCTTGCTTCCTTAGATAGGAGAGCTGTGCGAACTTTGCAAAAGTTGTTTTTGTTTGACTTGCTCTTGGCGGGGAGAAAAAAATAGTCATGTAACACCTTGCTTTTCCCTCCCTCATTTGTTATGTGTGCTCAGGAGTTCAGACTCTGAAGAAGCATTTGAAACACCAGAATCTACAACTCCTGTAAAGGCTGCATCTCCGCTACCGCAACTCCCACCTGAAATTGTAGCATTCGACATAGAGGAACAAGAAATAACACCTCAGCTTCCATCAGAAGACCCAGGTAACAATTGTACAGTGAATAGAATGGGCTACTTTGCACATGTACAGTTTAAGCACTTGGTGAGCCCCAGAATGGATTGGTAATCCCAAGAGGCTTCGTATTCCTGAGGGATTTTGGTAGCTTCGTAGTACCAAAGGTGCTTTTTCAGGAGGCAACTGGACTTTCTTGTTTTTATTTCATTTATTTATTATATTTATGTGCCGCCCTTTTATTTCTTTTGAAGACATCTCACTTAGCCAAGGTGGCGCAGTGGTTAAATGCAGCACTGCAGGCTACTGCTAGATCAGCAGGTCAGCGGTTCAAATCTCACCGGCTCAGGGTTGA